GGACACCAGAATTATTTGATCTAATCTCTCTTATTTGGCAGAGAATAAACTTCCTTATTGTGTCACAGCTGGCAGGCTATTTGAATCCTGAGAAGATTTTTCCCTTGAGTTGAAATTCTCTGTATGTGCTGGATATCAGGTCCTGTAAGTTTCAGCCAACATGCAGGATGGATGTTGAAAACCAACACATTTGGGAACATTGTCCAAGTACATGGCTTTAGGCTAAGGGTGTGGAACTATGGCCTCTTTATGACCTGTGGACTTCAACTCCCAGCATGCCTCAGGAATTCTGGGAGTTGAAGTCCACAGATTATAAAGGGGCCATAGTTCCACACCCCTGATTTAGGGGGGAAAGGCTTAGATGTGGATTATGGATTTAAACCAGGTGTAAGTCACCTGAGACCTGTGGACTTTATAGAGCCTCAGAAGCTATTTTTTACAGACTTCAGGGACACAGTTTCCTGATATTTTGAAGACCTCTCCAACCCCAGCCCAAACCCTTAAGAATAAAGGGCAGCCCCCATGCATACATATCTCAAGATTGTCTTTTCACAGCTCAGGACTCAATCTGGCTCGGAAGAAGCTGGCCTAGTGGAATGTCATCTTCAGGAGACATCAAGCCAGGTAACATCTGAGGCAGATCAAAGGCAGGTAACGTGTTGGCTATTCAGATGATGGTGCATGGCTGGCCTCCAAGCACTGAGACTCAGTTAGCAGAGCATAAAGCAGAGCAAATATTCTCAGTGAGGCTCCTTTGCAAACAAGGGCAAACTATATCTAGTTGGTTGCAGCCTGATTTAAGGCATAGCCTGACCCGAGTTTCTTTCTTGGAAACAACTGTGTGGTTTCCTGCTCTGATGTATCATTCCTATGTAAAGGTAGCACTCAACTTAAGATTGGTCACTTGACAATCATTTGAAGTTATGATTCAAAGTTACCCTGTTTTCCCTGAAAATAAGACCTCCCTGAACAATAAGCCCAATCGGGCTTTTGAGCGCATGCACTAAAATAAGCCCTCCCCTCAAAATAAGCCCCCCCTCGCCAAATATTGCAACATAGCAGCAGCATGAGATGCCCAGGCTCACTGCCTCCGGCAATTCAAAAATAATAAGACCTCCCCAAAAATAAGGCGAAGTGCTTATTTGGGGAGCCAAAAGAAAATAAGGCCTTGACTTATTTTGGGGGAAAACACAGTAGTTATGACCCAAACTTAAATTTAGAGCTGTTTTAGCACTGCCATAGCCAAGAGATCACATTTTGGGTGTTTGGCATTTATGACCAATCGTAGTGGCCCACAGCCACTTTTTTCCCCTCTTTTCTGGCAAAAGCTCCTCATTGCATTAGGTAGATTTGGATTACAACCAGGTGATTGCTTAAACAGCCATTGTAAAAACAGTAGCAAAATCAAATCCAGTCTTGTGGCGACTCGACTTACAACCGCAACAACTTATAACCAAAATTCTGGGCTCAATTGTGATTGTAAGTCAAGGACTACCTGTACTTATGTAAAAACATTCTGAAACTCTAAGCTTTGGATTGGCTGACAATCCTGGAAATCCCAGGGGGGAAAAAAAGTCAAAACCCAGAGTTCAAAGTTCAAAGAGTCAAGCCAGGATTGTCAGCCAATTTACATTTACATTCCTTTCCTTGTCTGTTGATTAGCTACTTAGTCTGGAGTATTTAGCTTGGCTGTCGCTCTGTGTGTGTGTGTGTGAGAGAGAGAGAGAGAGAAAAGGGGGTGGGGGAAGGAGAGGGAGAGGGAGAGAAACCTGAAACAGGACATTGTAATATTTTTGAAAATCTGATGACCACAATCGGTAGGATCAGAGGTGGGTTTCGCATTTTGTTACCACGGGTTTGCTGTGCGCAAACGTGCTTGCTTCACAGACACATGCGCCCCTCCCCCATATGCACTCAGCCTTCTGCGCAAGCGCTTTGCTTGCTTGCGTGCTTTCTGTGCATGCACCCTGCCTCAAAAACGAGCTTAAACGGGATGGCATAGAGCCGGGGTAGGTAGACGGGCCCACCCGCTATTTCCCCTACTGGTTCAGGTGAACTTGTCCAAATCCACCGAATACCATCTCTGGGTATGATAATGGGTAAAACTATTTTTCCTTGGGACTCTGGAGATATTTTTCAAATGGGTTTTCCATTTTTGTTAAACATATTGTTGAATATGACAGGTCACTCAGCTCTGCCCATAAGAACTGTAAGTGTGGTCTCTTTGTAAGGTTTAAAAAAAATGATTCATCTAATTGTCACACATTGGGTAGAAGTAGTCCTCCAGTTATGACCACAAGTGGGACTGGATCTTCCATCGCTAAGTGATGCAGTGCATCAGATTGTATAACCTCTTTTTCCATGGTCATTAAATGAGGACTGTAGTTGTTAGATGAATCTCATGGTCTTAAGTATATCCAGCTTCCTCCATTGACTTTGCTTGTTGGAAGCCTCCTGAGAAGGTTGCAAAGGATGATCACGTGATTCCAACTGTTAAGCTCCTGAACTTTTGATCACATAACTGTGAAAACAATGTGATGGGCATCAGTGCGAGGACAGGTCATCAGTCACTTTTTTCAGCAGTATTGTAACTTTGAACCATTTGTTAAACAAATGGCTGTAAGTCGAGGTGTAGCTATATAGAGCCATGGTGATGTAGTGGTTAGAATGCAGTATTGTGGGCTAATTCTGCCGGCTGCCAGAAGCTCAATCCTGACCGGCGCAAGGTTGACTCAGCCTTCCATCCTTCCAAAGTTGAAAAAGGAGAACCCAGATTCTTGGGGGTAATAAGATGACTTCGTAAACTGTTTTGAGAGGGCTGTAAAGCACTGTGAAGCGGTATGTAAATCTAAGTGCTATTGCTATACAGCATGACTTCTCACTGACCTTGTTTGGATTCTAGAAAATTGGGAAGCCAAAAAACATCTCAACAGAAGAGGATGACAAAGTCCTTCCCTTTGCTGTTAATTTGGAGTCTAACCCCAGAGAGAGGGGTTGCCAAGCATTCTCTTCCTCCAAAATGGATCTGATAGCAGATATTCTTGGCTAATTAAATGATGGTACATAAATCACTCCTACTTTTCCATCCTGTGTACATTCAATTACGTAGTTTCTTCTCAACTTGATCCAGGTTATACTGGATCCACCCACATCTTTAGTTCCAGGTCATGAGAGTTGTGATACTTTGCTGAAAAAAATAACCAAGAGAGCTCCTTGCTTTATTAAAACATGATTTCAAAACTAACCTTTATGGAGTTGATTTTTAATAACTATCTAGGGGAATGTCTGGAATGAAGAATCTCTTTCAACTAATTAGCCCCCCCCCCCCCCAAAAATGGGCTGAAGAATCTGGAGCTATATTGCACCAAATGATAGCTTTTTAAAAAGAAAGTAAAAAAGAATAAAATAGTAAATATATTTTATCGAGAACAACTAAAGGCATGCAAGCAAAGATCCTTCTGGACGTCCATATTTAAGAGCAGGAGGCAGAGATAGCATTCAGCCAGTTCTGACATCTTCTGGAGAACCAATAGCAGAAATTTTGAGTAGTTCAGAGAACCGGCAAATAGGCTGGCCCCATCCCCGCTGTCTACCCGCCTCCCAGCTGATCTTCTTCTGTTGCCCAGAACAGGAGAAAGGAGCTGGAAAGCAGGTTAGTGGGGTGGGGAGGGAATGGGGATTTTGCAGTATCCTTCCCCTGCCATGGCCACAAAGCCACGGCCACAAAGCCACACCCCCAGAACCGGTAGTAAAAAAAATTGAATCCCACCACTGGTAGGAAGTCATCTTATACAAAGGTTCTTGGCCTGAAATATTCTACTCCCTACCCCCCCAAGTCAAAGTTTTATCTGGGGTTATCATTTGAACTTCTTCTTTTTAAAAGATTTTTTTAAAAAGATGACCGGAACAAGACTTAGGAAAGGGTGACTCAGTTGCACACCTATACATGTGCACTGATAATATTACCTAGTTTAATAATAAAACATCTGCCAAAAAAACCCACCAAAGTTAGCTAGCACCAAGGACTCCCACACCTGTCATTCTCCGGCTTGCTACTTTCCATATTTTATAAGTGCTATTTTTAACTCCTTCCTTTCTCTCTTCTGCTGACCGGCTTGTCCTCTCCACTGTCTCAGCTATAGCAGAGGTAAGCTCCCTCAATCTTAAAAACCAAGACCAGTCAAATAAATGGCACAGAATGAGCAGTTCTCCTCTATTATTGTGGCCAGTCAGAAGCATTCTTTATTCATTTCCTCAGCTCTCCAATGCTGCTTTCCTAGCTAGCAATCAGACTCTAAGGGTCCTCCAATGGACCTGGGGCTTACCTGATTGTGGTGGAGATCCACCCTGACTGCTCTTTAGAAGGCCAGAACCTGAAGATGAAACTCAAATACTTTGGCCACCTAATGAGAAGGAAGGACTGGAGAAGAGCCTCATGCTGGGAAAGACTGAGGGCAAAANCCCGTTTCTGGCCTTACCAAACTTCCAATAGGCCTGTTTTTTGCCCTCCCTGAGCTTCCGTGCACGCCCTGCACTTACCTGCATCCAAAACAGGCCACATGGGGATTCCTGGGAGGGGCTGGGTGGGGTGGGTGGGTCCAGCCAGGAGTGGGATTTGGGGGTTTTCCGAACTGCATAGAATCTTAGCTAGAGGTTCTCCCGAACCCCTTTGAACTCCCAGCAGCCCACCCCTGGATGTATCCTATATCCCCTATACCCTGAGCATTAGTTAAGATGTCCCTTGTTCAGATGTGAGGGATGAGTGAAGATGGAGGAGTGAAAGAGAGATTTCTGTCCCTCAACTTCTCTTCTGAAAGTCCTCTGCATCTCCATTTCTCCTGCTTTGTTATAAGCCACGGGTAGGTATAGCAGACCCAAAAGCAGAGACAAATTAAAACATTGGCCCACCCCAGTTTCATCAAGTACTTTTTTTTCATTTTTCCTCTTCTTTTAGAGGATAAAAAGGTTGATGGGAGGTTGGATAATTAACAATTTTTCAGGTGATGGCAGTGAGGGGTTGTGCCTGAAGAATAACGAGCATTGAACAGGCTTTGAGTCTGCATTGGAGAAGAAAGTCTTGATCATCATCGCTGGAAAGAAAGTAGATTAACAAAAATTCTGCTTGCTATTTTTTTTTTTATGATGCTGCAAATTGCTTGGCTGATTCATGATCAGAAATGAATGGCTTTTATACATACATTTTAGGAATATCCTAACTGGATTGTTTTTATTAACTCATATTCTATTAAATCAGTTTTTTTCATTGTATCCGCTCTCTGGGAATATCTCCAAAGAAAAGGCTTTATATTGGCATCCCAAAAGAGCTGATATAGGTAGCAGTAAGACATGTGTAGGTTTAACTGCTTTTATTTAATTCAGAGACCTTTCCAATTATTCTACTGTGCTTTGTCCTTCAAATGTACTAAGTTTAAAACAGTCAGAGGAGAGGAAAGTCATTTTAGAAAACTTCCTTTCTTAAAAGCCTTTGGATAAAGGCAAAATGGAAATATCTAGTAGACACAATGTACAAAATGTATAAATACAAGAGTTTAAATTTTGAATCATATGAACATATATTAAGTAGGAAATAGCATTATGCTTTGCCTGTCCTTGCTAATATATCAAAGGTTTGTTTCTGTGGGTTCCTGTGGATTTCAGAGAATTTAGCAGGTTAAACTAATTCATCTTATTACATAACTTTTACTTAATTTTTCCTAGGGTAATAACATTTAATCCTGAATAATTTTACTCTTGATGCTGAATAATTTCAGAGGAACTATTAACAAAGAATAGTCAAAGCTATGGTTTTCCCAATTGCAATGTATGGCTGTGAAAGTTGGACCATAAGAAAGGCTGAGCGCCTTTGAACTATGGTGCTGGTGAAGACTGCAAGGCAATCAAACTGGTCAGTCCTAGAGGAGATCAACCATGACTGCTCTTTAGAAGGCCAGATCCTGAAGATGAAACTCAAGTACTTTGGCCACGTAATGAGAAGGAAGGAGTCACTGGAGAAGAGCCTAATGCTGGGAAAGAATGAGGGCAGAAGAAGAATGGGCTGACAGAGAATGTGGTGGCTGGATGGAGTCACCGAAGCCATCAGCATGAGCTTAAATGGACTGCAGAAGATGGTAGAGGACAGGAAGGCCTGGAGGAGCATTGTCCATGGGATCGCGATGGGTCAGGCATGACTTTGTAACTAACAACATCATTAACAAAGAGCTAATTAATAAACACAAAGTCCTTGATTTATGCCTGTTCAATTAACAAAGGTTCAAAGTTATGACGGCCTTGGAAAAAGTGATTCAGATGGTACTTACGGTATGACCGTTGTACCACACACCCCCCATGGTCGTTTGAACACAATTTGAGCATTTGACAAATTTGCATTTATAAACGTTTCAGCATCCTGTGGTCACATGATTGCAATCTGCTAGTTTGTTTCAGCAAAAAGCACCCATTGGTAAAGGTATATTTGCTTAATGACTGCATGTTTCACTTAATGACCATCATAAAAATTATTGCAAAGTTGGGTCGGACTCGGTTTACAGCCGCAACATCTTAATGATGGAGATTCCAGTTCTGGTTGTGATCATACCTGCAGATAAACAATGGCAGAAACTTTAGTGCAATTCTATAGCTGATCTCTTGGGAATAAGTCCCATTAAATTGAATGAGACTTACTCTGTGTAGGAGTGCCTGAAATTGCTGTCTGAAAAAGGCAATCTCTTTTCTCATTAGCCAAGTCTTGAGCTAACATATTACAGAACAGTGTTTCTCAAACTGAGGAAGTTTAAAATGTGTGAACTTCAACTCCCAGAATTCCTCAGCCGGCCATGCTGGATGGGGAATTCTGGGAGTTGGTCCACAATTCTAAAACTCACTAAGATTGAGAAATATTTTCTCAAATGCTCATAGATTTAATTAAGATGTTTGGCAAGACTGCAAAAAAATGCTCCTTTTCCTCACTCTTCATTTATCTTTGCTCCTATGAGGCACAAGATTAGAAAGCCAAGCATTTGTTTTCTGAAAATAGTAGGAAGGCATTCCTATTTGTTTTCGAAAACAAGGGGAACTTTGCACAGAGGTAATTTGTGATGGGCTGGGCTAAGGAACCAAGATTGGAGAACCATTACAGACTAATACATAAACCAGGTCTTGTGAAACTAAGTTAAGACTCCCTCAAGTCAAGGTGGACTTCATGGATGTGTTCCTATCATTTTCTTGGCAGAAACACAGTCATGACATTGCCATCTTCCCAAGTTAGTTTATAGCCCTGATACTGCCTGCAGGTTTCTCATTTCAGGACAAAGGAGCTGAACCCTGCTTAGCCAAAGTTGACACGGACTACTTGAAACCTCACCGATTTTTATATTCATATGTAAAAAGAGGTGGGACTTCAATCACAGCCTTGTGTTTTTACATTCCCCTACTAACACTCTGCCCGATAGTTGTTTTTTGTTTGTTTCATTGATTTCTATTCAGCTTTGTATATTACGTCTAGGACTTAATCAATTTGAATTTCTCCTGTGTAAAAAAAAAACACTGAAATTACAAGCAGCTAAGTAAGAACTCATATGCCAGTTTCTGATTTACTTTTCTCTTCCATTAGCTTCTGCAGAATTTTAAATTCCCTAGGATTCCTCTGCGTTTTCTGTAATTGTTAGTTCAATATTTTTTATTCATTCATTCCAGAGGTGTATTTTATGTCTCGCGAGCTTCATTCAAGTCTATCCAATAAAAAGTCTTAAGTTCCATTTAAGTGTTTGCGGTGTGGTTCTTGATGAAGTGGAAAACAGTTATTATGATCAGCTTGCCTTCATTTTAATTCTCTCCTCAGCACAGGGGGTGGGGGGGGGGCTGAAAGAGAGACTTGAGACCTACCAAGAATGATTTAGTCCAGTGTTTCTCAACCTGGGCAGCTTGAATATGTAACTTGGGGAAGCCGGGTGGGGAATTCTGGGAGTTGAAGTCCACACATCTTCAAGTTGCCCAGGTTGAGAAACACTAATTTCCAGTTCTATAGACTTCAGTTCCCAGAATTCTTAATTATGGCCCCATTGACTGGGGTTTATGAGAGTTGAGGTTGACAGATCTAGAGAGCAGCAATGTTGGAAAATACTAGTGTTGAACATTCTTTGCCATCAGGTGGGCATTCTGAGTTACAGTATATATCTTGGCAATCTGGAGGGCAGATCTACCTCGAATTTAAGAATAAGGATACACCCCTATTTGTAGATTCTCTCCATCCATATCTATCTATCTATCTATCTATCTATCTATCTATCTATCTATCTATCTATCTATCTATCTATCTATCATCTCTCTCTCATCCAATAGCAATAGCAATAGCAGATTTTTATATACCACTTCATAGGGCTTTTAGCCCTCTCTAAGCGGTTTACAGAGTCAGCATATTG